AGTGAGTGAAAAAAGGTAAGTGAGTGAGTGAGTGAGTAAGTGAAAGAGAGTGAATAAATGAGAAAGAAAGTAAGTGAGTGAATGAGTGAAAGAAAGTAAGTGAGTGAATGAGTGAAAGAGAGTGACTGAAAGAAAGCGAATGGGTGAGTGAGTGATTGAAAGAAAATGAATGAGTGAATGAGTGAGTGAATAAGTGAAAGAGAGTGAGTGAAAGAAGGTAAGTGAGTTAGTGAGTGAGTGAGTGAGTGAGTGAGTGAGTGAAAGAGAGTGACTGAAAAAAAATGAGTGGGTGAAAGAAAGTGAGTAAGTGAGTGAGTGAGTGAGTGAGTTAGTGACTTAGTGAGTGAGCGAAAAAAAGTGAGTGAGTAGATAAGTAAGTGAAAGAGAGTGAATGAATGAGTGAAAGAGAATGAATGAGTGAAAGAAAGTAAGTAAGTGAGTGAAAGAGAGTGACTGAAAGAAAGTGAGTTGATGAAAGAAAATAAATGAGTGAATGAGTGAGTGAAAGAAAATGAGTGAGTGAGTGAGTGAGTAAAAGAAAGTGAGTGAGTTAGTGAATGAGTGAAAGAAAGTGAGTGAGTTAGTGACTTAGTGAGTGAGTAAAAGAAAGTGAGTGAGTGAGTGACTGAAAGAAAGTGAGTGAGTTAATAACTTAGTGAGTGAAAGAGAGTGAGTAAAAGAAAGTGAGTAAGTGATTGAATAAGAAAGACAAAGAGGAAGAGAAATGACCGATCACTATCCATCGTAAAATCCATTTTATGGCCTCATAAATCATCGGACTTAACGACTGGCCTGTTAAGGGAAGTTTCATCGGGACATTCAGAAATCGATGAACTATAACGAATTGGAGACAGAATTTCTCGCGAGGATCTCGGAAGCCAAGCGTGTGAATTCGATTAAATTCGTCAGTGGGACTTTCGACGATGTTTGCGTTTCCTTTCGCTGGTATTTGTTGACTGCAGTATGGGAGGAAAAGCGAACCATGAAAATCCGAAGAGTAAACAGGGAGAGAGGGAAGTTCGTTACAGAGAAGAAGAAGAGAGGCAGGTTGTGATTGTATCGGTATCGAGCAGAAAACCAATCAACCGATCAACGATGAAATTTTTTCCAATAATCTCTCATCGAAATTAATGATTGATTGATTTCAACTCAGGAATCCAGATCAACAGGTTTCCTCGTTTTTTTTTTTTTTTTTTTTTTTTTTTTAAAGAATTCTGTTTAAACTTACATATTTACAATATCTGTTTCCTGGAACTTTATCGTGCAAAAATATCTGTTTTTTCACTGGAAGGAAATATTTTATAGAGAGAAGTGTGTTTCATGGAATATTTTAGAGAATCTATACGATAACAGTTCCATGAAGACAAGCTATATTAAAATTCAATTAAAAACAATTTTTTCGACTCCTTCGACAAAAGTTTTCATCTTTATATCTCTGTCTGCAACTTTTATTTATCTATTCACACTTATATTCAAATGAGTGCAAAATTAGAGCCTTTTGCAGGGACGAATGAAAGAGAAGATTTAAAGAAACCAGAACAAAAGTATTCAAGTGCAAATACATTATATATATTAATTTCCTTTAATCAACGATTGAAAATTAATTTGATTAATCAGTCAGTCAAACTAAAGGTTTTAATCGATCAGTTTTACTAACTTCGTTTCAAAGTATACTTTCAATTTCAACTGAAATGACAATCAAACTCGATGTATATAAATAATAATTGATTATTAATCGATTTCAATAAATCGATCGTCGACGATTAATTTCAATCAAGTCGGTCGGACCAAGGATCTCAATCGATTAAACGTCCAACTCCGGAGGAATAAATGTCGATTTATTGTCTAGGTTTATCCCGATGAAGATCGACGAGCAGAAGCCCCTCGTCCGGAGAAGAGGAAAATTCGAAAGACAAGACATCCTCGCGACAAGAAGGAATACTTCTCTGATATTGCTTCGAAGCAAGTTTCATTTCACCGACAGAGAGAGAGAGAGAGAGAGAGA